GCCATCATAGTTTTTAAGGCTAAAGTCACCTGAACGAAATTTGCTGAACCATTGTTGACACTTACGAATGATTAGAGTATACTAAACTTTACACATTATATAGGCTACATTAACGTGATGTTTAGGCAGTTCGTTTAACTATTATATGTGATGTAAGTTTTTGGAGGGGTGGTTAATGAAAGTGTTCCAAAACGTGACATTAATTTCTTGATGACTTAATATATCTAACAACTCTTAAAATGTCCAGGTATGGTGGTTTGACCAACCAGGTGCATCTCTTTAACTCACCTTTTGTAATATTTGTTATATTATATTGCAAAAAAACTACTTGATGAAATATTTTAAAACTTCAGATGAACTTTGTAACATTTTATTTTTATATGTGATATTTTTATAAATTTGGAGCTTTGAAAATATGAAAAAGATTTCAGTATAAAATGTTTGTTTTTAAGAAAAAATTAAAAATGCTTACCTTTTTTGTAGATTTAAATGTCTGATTCTTATGTTTTTTTACATTTTTCGAAACCTTCTTATAATGTTTTATAAAATTTACAATTTTATCATTGTTTTGATTTTAAAAACATTTCACATAGTTTCACTGTCTATGGTAACTGGCATAAAATAAAAACAACTTATTTATTATACCAAAATTATGAACAAGCTGACTTTTGTTTTGTTTATTAATCAGAAGGTTTTATTTAATATATATAATGCCATTTGCACTCATATGAATTAATTTTTGTTTTTCTTACTTTTTAGGGATTTTCTTTGCTCATTCAAGCAGTTGCTTGGGCCAATAAGGCCTAATGTAAACACAGCCTAACAAAGAGTAGCCTTGTTGGCAAAATAAAACTTCATATGGTCAAATATAAAGTGATTTAACTAAGCATACTTCATATTGTTCTATAAAAAACATTTCCTATCATTGCATCATCATCATCATCAGGACTGTAATTGTGGTTGAAGTTGTTCACAAGCACCTTTTCTAATATCAACATATCGCAAAGCTAAGCTTTTGTCACCTTTTCAAATCTCTGGATTAATCTCCACTGAAGTGGAAGCCTTGCTGGCCTATACTGTTGAAAAAAATGGAAAAAGAGCTTTTATTATGTGTTTGAATCATAGCTTATGGTTTCTCAAAGCTGAGATATAGGCAATAATATTAAACTATGACAACTGAGGTTGACAAACTGTGATGAACTAAGATCAATAAAACTATTTTAACTTTCCTCCTAGAAGGCTATTCATGGCAAATTTTTACATAAACTGTTTTATTTTGAGCATGATGAAATCAACCAAAAATTAATAATTTTTTATGTGTTAATGTATAAAATTAAATTAATAAAACTATTTTTATTAAATAAGTTGAAATTTTGCCCTCATTGCAGGACGCACCCATCTTGGCACTATAGAGTTAATTTTCAACAGAAGCATGAACCAATTTATACATTGTTTCAAATGTTTTATATCAATTTTTTATTAAAAAACTTTTTGATTGAGGGGTGACCTGTATTGGCAAAAAGGCTTTTTTCTTATTTTCAAATGATAAATGTTTGATGAATATAAACTGTTATTGCATGTTAAGTTATAGAATACAATGAGTTCAAGTGACTGAAATCAGTAACATTTTAACATAGGGAATGAAAGTATAAGATAGTGAATTCTACTTTTATCTTATTATGATTTTGTTTACCATTCATTATTCTATTAGTTGTTTAGTTCAACTATGATTTTTAGTTATGTTAAAGCACTAACTCACCTTTTGGCTAGAACATGTTTAATTTGGGTATGTTTGTATTATGAAACCTACACAAGCTTACCGTAGCGGTGGCATTCAGATATTAATTTTATGAAAGGTTATGTAAATTATTTAGTCTTATGAGATGTAACCTTGTGGTCTAACCACTGAATAAAAAGTTTGCCTTGATCTTAAACTAGTTAGTTCATGAGATATAGCTAAAACAAATTATTGCTGATTGTTATTTAATATTGTTATTGATCTTGTAGTGGATTAATTTTGGAATATTGTGTTCTTTCAAAATTAAATTTTTTCCTCTTCTGGTTTTTTTTCTAATTCTATTAATTATTGAAATGATTCATAACATTGATATCTATGTTGTGTTGTTCATTAATGTTAGTATCAAATCCTGGCTATGCACTTAACTTGTTTTTTTTAAGTGATAAAGTTTGTATTCCATTTGTTTGAAAGTTTTGTTGTGGATTTCTGTGGTTGTTAAAGTTTATTAAATTCTTTTGTTGTATGACATTGATTGTAGTGGTGTTTTGTTTTTGTCTGTTGCAAAAGTACTTTGATTCTGGAGTGGCATAACCCTTGAGGGGCACCTTTTGCATTTTTGCTGATTTTTCAAAAGCAAATGTCAACTTAAATTGAGCCAGTAAGAATACTGGCAACTGCAATATGCACTATACTTTTAGGCCCTACATGCTGTTTTACTCATTTTATTTATTTTTTGTATTATAGGTTTTATCTTTTGAATAGGGTCACTTTACTACTTTGCAAAAAAGTAACTTTATGTATCCCCAGTGCTCCCCTCCCATTTTAACATGTTATAGTTCATAAGATGGATCCTGAGTACATCCCACTCTGTACTAGAACTATTTGTTTTGCAACATCTATGACTTTCAAACTTGGAGTTTAGGTTAACTTTCACCTTACTTCCATAAATTTTAGTTTCTATGATTAGTGTGATTGCCTTGTTACACATTTAATTTTTCCCATGTAATTATTCTTGAAACTTAAGCCTTAGTTATTGTTAACGAAGTCTGTATAAGAAATTCATTGTTTTGTATATGTTCTTCATAATTGTTTCACTTCCTGAATGCCCCCCAGGAACTGGTGGGCACAGTACAGATAGCCCATTGTGAAGCTTTGTGCTTAACTACAAACAAACAGAAGTAGAAATTTCCAGTTTTGTACTGTCCATTATCCTTGGAACATATCTGTCTGAATTGTGGTATTTGTCTACTTGTGTTCAAGAAAAATTTTTTTTGTATTCAGTCTCCTCTTTTAATTTTTTTTTCCTACTGTAAACTTTGAATTGCTTTTTAGTAATATTTGAACTATTTAGTGAGAAATGTTCCTGTCGTAAATGCATGTTAAAAAATACAGTATATAATTGTGGAGCAGAAACAAATAACATGAATTACTGTTTTGTGATTTTAGTTTTTCTTATAATTAGGTACTGATTCACTTGGTGACACAGTGGATGATCAGAAGCTATGTGATCCAAATAATGAAAAACCCAAACTTGGAATCCAAACTCTCTTTATAGAGAGAAGTTCTGAAAGTTGTGAAGCATTCAGACCTACAAGTGAAGCACAAAATAGTGCAACTTTGCAACTGGAAAACAATGAAATGTCAAGTTTCATCCTGCCAACATGGCCTAGGTGAGAAACATTGAAATTTAACATACCATATAGGATAGCTTTTAGTTGTATCAAAGTTGTATAAATATGTATAGCTTGCAGTAAATTAGCCTTGAATCAGTAGTTATATTAACATTTTGCATTCAAGTATGGCTCTTTTGTGCAATTCATGATCTTTTACAGTGTCACTTTCAAAATTTAATTAAACAACTTTATTGTCAGTCTATGTCAATAAACTTTGCATTGAAATGTAGTTTATAATTCAAATGCCTATATTACTTGAGTTTTAGTTTCTTAATTTGAAAAAGAAATATTAAATAGTTTTCATTTTGCTGTGACTTGAAGCATCTGAGCTGCGATTTCTCTTCTTCAGTATTTTGTAACTTCAAAAATACACTGCTGTAGTTTCAAATGAGTTAGAAACACAAACTAAATATAAATACAAGCATGAAACTAAAATCTGCATTTTCTACCTTCCTGATTTGATGAGAAATCAATAAATTTCTTAAACTCACTTGTGTAACCACCACTCCTCTCTCTCTACCATCAAGAAGAGCAGATTTTCCTGTACATAAGACTTATTACAGTTTTTGGATTTTGGCACACATAAGTATAGAGTCAATTGCGGTTTCTTTATCTGTGGTCATTGTTATCATAATTTGAACAGCTTATAGAAATAAGGGATTCAATTTGCAGACAAAAGTGAGGCTGTAGCAGGCTGTTGTATTATGAATAATGCTGTATGGATGCAAAACTTGGGTGTTGTCTATGGTAACTTCAAAAAAGGTGGAAGCTGCCCACCATAGATGGTTAAGGAAAATTTTGTATATATCACGGACGGATAAGATTTACAAATGAGAAAATTGTTAGGAGGACTGAGCAGTGACCTATTACATCAGTCATCAAAAATAGAGATGACTAAATTCAACTGGCTTAGACATGTGTACGGTATGGCAGTGGATAGAAGAACATAGCAGACATTTTTGTGGCTGCCAAAAGGTGGGAAATACGAGAGTGTAATACCACAGTTGAGCTGGAAGATAAACTGTTCAGAAGAACTTGGAATCTACTAGAACAATATGGGAGAAACTACAACAAATTGCACAAAATAGGAACAAATGGAAATGTTGGGTTGCCTAATGTGTCTGAACTGTATAGCTAATTGAATTTTTTAAACTATTTATAGCTTACTTAGAAAGCTAGAAAAATTACAGCTCTTTAGGGGTGTTCTCTTCTAGTGAATGTGGTATCTTTTTGTGTTCCAAAATGCATATTTGAGAACAACACAAATTATTTTCTGGACATCCAAATTTGTGAGATTTAGGGGAAAATAGCTTTATAGACAATTTTATATTGCTGTATATATTTTTACAAAAGTAACTAATATGTAAAAATTAGATACTTCTCAACTTTGCCTAATGAAACTTTAGTAAAATATAGCTGAAGTCTAAGCATAGTGTGTCGTATTTCATTTGCTGTTTATGGTAGGTCTATCAAAAACAGCTAATGGACTCACTGATTTATTGCTTTTGATTGGAGGATTACTGATATAGTAGGTGCAAAGTATAGCAGTTAAACCATAAGATTAAAAGAAAATGTGAAAAGGCTAACATATGAAAATTATAAGTAATTTGGAACTTTCTGATGAATACTACAATCAGTTTACAGGAAAAAATGGCATTATGTATTTTATTTCATATCTTGCAACTTTTCATTTCCATGTACATTAGTGATTTCTTCAAAATTAATGTTAAGGTAGAGAAAATAAGAGATAAAATATGAAGTTGTAATGAGAAAACCTTTTTTAAGGATTTGTATGTTCATATCCAATCTTTATTTTACTGAAAATTTGTGTTTTGTGTACAATAGACTTTTAATGTTTACTAAAAGCTTGCCACATTTCATAAAGATACATTTACTAAATTCAGAGTTTTAGTAAACATTAGTATGTATAGCTTTACAGATCTAGAGTTAGTCTGTGTGAATAAGCCTGTGAGGTGATGTTTTTTTTACTACTTACTAATTTGTTTATTTTCATCACTTACTTCTCTTAAAATCTAGAATAAATCCCAAAGGACAGCATACAACTTTAAGCATTCAAATATTGTGTTTTTTCTTCAGATAATTTGAAGACTCGTAGTCTTCATCTCTGTAGTGTATTACAAAGACTGAGTATCACAGTGATTATAGTGCTCGACCATCACGTGGAAGTCTCGTGTTCAAATCCCAGTTGAATTGGGATTTTATGTTAATATTTTATTATTATATTTATTTTTCATATATTTATTACCAAGCTCTTTGAATATTCAGAAAAATATGCATGCAATTATGGATTAAATATGGGATGATATCATAAACATGAGTGACTGTGTAAAAAAACAACTTAAGTATCTATTCAATGCAATAGATGATGCTACTTTTTCACCTTCAATAAGAGATTTTTAAAAATTTTGTAAAAGAATTTATAACCATTTTTATGGAAAGTTATACTTTTGTGAAATTACCTGTCACCTTAAAATTCATTGCCTTTTTCATCACAATTAATAAATTGCAGGGTCAGACAATTGATCATATAGGAATATTTCTTCGAGAATCAATTTTTAACATGTTTCAGTCTATAAGGCTTTATTAAGAAGAAGATTTGAACATAACGTAAAAATATATAAAAGTCAAAGTTATAATAAAGGACTTACAGGAGATGACCAAATATGCACAACCTGTTATCACTCTTAACAGATCTCAATTTTTGTGGATTCGCTTGACTCTTACTTGGTTCAGAGTTGGCTTTTCATCATGAACCTGAATATACCAGCAAGAATTTAGACACTGTTTCCTGCTCCTTCTTTCACTAGGGCTGCCTCTACTTAGGGCTTACCTGATCAGCCACTTTCTGCCCCTTTTGTGCAGTTAGTTATGTGAGTATCTAAAGTTTTGGGGATTAACCCCGTTGCTTTTGAGTCTACCCCTGCCTTATTGTCAGATAGACCTTGGGGGGATTACTTAGTTCATTCAGGGAGGTTTTCAATGCAATTACGAGAGGGTATCGCTATGCCTTGCCCCCCTCATTTATCAGAATAACTTGCCCTAGCTTATCATCGTCAGGATCAAGTATATTTGGACACTCAACAGTTGGATCTGTTGTTGGATTTATTGGGTTCCAGGTTAGAACCTGTTATCACTGTTAACACATCTCACTTTTTGCGGATTCATTTGACTCTTACTATTGTATTGCGATACTTCTCTTCCCTTCATCTTTTGTCTGCAGCATATCAATGCTCTCATCATCAATTTGATGATGAACTGGGACCCTTACTGGTTACCACTATGGCTTCTTTGTTCTCTTCAAGCCTTTCCTCGGTGTCATGGTTGGTCTGGTTGAGTCAAGATGCCTTGTTGGAGGGTATTTGTTTGCTGTCCACTGCTCTTCATGATTTATGGGAGGCACCTTTTCTTCAGCCTTACTTGTTGCCAGAGTCCTGGAAACTTTAGTAGCTCAATTTGATGCAGCTTGTTTGCAATCTTTTTTATCGTTGTTGGCTGCTCGCTTCTCTTCTACTCCAGTGGGTAATTCTGGAAGATCGACCATTCCCATCTTATGGCCCCTACCTCGACACCTCGTCATGTTAGTTTACAGAATCGATTCTGTCTGTATTCTTGGGGATCTTTGGACAGGTCAGGTCAGTGACTACCCATCTTCACCAGATCCTGTGGGAGGACAGTTACATCTGTTTCACCATATTTGGCATTCATTCACCATCGATTCTTGGGTTCTCAGAGTGCTGGATATGGGTTTCAAGATTCAGTTTACTTCTCCCCCTCCATTGTCCTCCCATCTGGTTGTCATTTCTCTTCATTCAGGCCTCAGACGTGCAGACCTTTGTCCTGGACCATTCAGGAGTTGTTAAACAAATGAGCCATCATGAAGATTAATCCCATTCATCCAGGATTCTATTCTCATCTGTTTCTGGTGCCCAAGAAAACTGGAGATTGGCATCCTATCATCGATCTGTCTCGACTCAATCACCTTCCCACTGTGGCTGTGTTGACTACCTCTGCTAGATTTTAACAAGGAGGTGAGTAACTTTCTTACCTGGACTTACAGCTTTTTCTTTTTTCTTCTAGGGTCCCTCTATATTTCTGTTGGATGAGTGTTGCCCAGTTAGGTATGCTTGTATTTTTTCATTTCTGCACTAGCAACCTTTATATCGGTTCATGGGCTCCATCTAGACACAATTTTGGATGGTAGTATTATCTCACAATACAAATCCAATGGACCACTACTCATGGACTATCATGAGTAAAGCTAAAGGGGAATTTGGCAGTCCCTGCTGATCTTTGAGCTGACTTAGTCGAGATCGGTTTGCTTTTAAAACTTGGGAAACGTGGTTCACCTGTTGCACTGTCTCCAGAGGCCTGTTCCTTGGCACTCCCCATCATGTACATGCCACCACCACCCCAATTCTACTAATAGAGCTATGGAGTCCTTACCACACTCAGTTCCTAGTCGCTGTGGTGGTGGACAGAGGATTTTCCATTTTTCTTCTGAGTGGTGAGTTTTCTCCAATCTCGGAGAAGAGGGCAAAGTTGGGGACCCTCCTACCCAGGTTCCTGGTTATTTTTCCCAGATGTTGGTAGGAGCAGGACTAACCAACGTGGGAGCCTACTCGTAAAACCAGTCCAGAATTGAAGCTTAGCTATCCAGTGAGGGTGAGCTTGGACCTTCTTATGAACATGGTCAGGTCTTAGGTTGTTCATACAGGAGGTCCACTATCTCTTCCTAAATCTATACGTGATGCGGTCCAATCTTAGGCCCTTGATGCACCAGTGTTCCACGTCTACTCCATAATTCCATGGGTAAGTGGAATTCTCCTTGCTCACTTCTTTGGGGAGTGAAGATGACTGTTTGTCAATCCAGTCTGGATGAGTTCTGGACCTTGGGTGGAGTATGGCATATATGATCCCATCAATCCAAGCGTGGGATGTTGCCTTTTGGACTTCTTCAAGTTGAACAGAAGCATTGTCCACTTTGGTGTTGCTTTCTTTCTTTAATAAATCCGGTAATTCGAAATGCATCATTCCATGGCTGCAGGTGTGGATCCTATCACAAAAATATATATAAATTTGCAGTCCAACTGCCCTGGCCACCAACGTGAGATATGGGTACCATGACCCCTTAAATCCAGCCCGAGTCGGAGAATCTTGGCTGCATGGTTGGGGCTGGCCTATCATAATATTCCACCATTTTCACTTTTCAGTAGTTCTGGATGAAGATCATACCTTTTCTGGATGTAGTGCGGTTTTCCCCACTTGAGTACCACTTGTCGTGGTACACCTTTGTTTTTTGCAGACCTTTTCTGTATAAACTATGCCCTCACCAGCCCCTCTACCTTCTCAATGTGAGATTCTAACTATAAGTGGCAGCAGAGGTATGTATGTTTTGAAAGTTATCATTTTCCTAATCTGAAAATGTATTTTCAAACATACTTACCTCCCCTGACACTCTTCCTCCTTTCCTCCCCACTAAGAGCCGGGTTAGTGACTGGGATGGGGTAAGTCTAGAAAAAGTGATTATATTGTCTGCATACAGTGCTTATATAAAGTACCTACAAAGAGGGCGTGTGAGGGTCGGTGTAAAGTTTTGCAAATTAGATATTGCCGAGGGCAGTTGAGTGGGGTATAAAAGACTGGAGCAAATGAACACAATGTTTAGATGGCAAAGAACAATGGAAGATGGAGATCAAGAAATAGGTATAAGCTACATTAATTTTGATTTTCAGAAGAAAATAAATATTTACCATCACATGATGTTATGAGTCTAATATGAAAGCATGTGAAAGCAGTATTTTTTACCAATACTTCAAAATAAGAAATGATAAGTTTGGCATTTCCAGTGTTTAACAAAAACAATATTACTTCTTTAGTATCGAGCAGATTTGTTTAGCTTTTAATTCTGTTAAACTTGTACTGCACTGATGGAAACATAACTTTGTTTAAAAGTAGGACTATAATAAGTAAAAACTAGCAAGCAATGCGAGATGAGGAGAATTTTTTGTTAACAAAATATTCAAGGTGTGGCAGCATGTTCTCCCCTTTTGTTTCTCTGGTTAAGTAACTATGATTGTAAACTTTGAGACTAAAGATTGGTGGTAAAAATCAATAAATGTTATGTTTTCTATTTCTCTCATTGTGAACCCATTGGAGAAAATATTTGAAGTAATAATTGACTTTTCAGATGTCATTAAGTTTGAGTTTCTTCGTGCCCTTTTTTCAGCTTATTGTTAAATTGTCCTTTTATATCTTCATATATGGTATCTGTGTCTGTGTGTGTAGTCAAAGTTTATAAATATGATTTAGGGGAAACAAAAATAACTTATTTCAGAAAAACTAGATAGATACTTCAATTCTTTATTTAATGTAAGCACTTTCTTCCAAGAAAAGTTAAATTCATTATTGGTGTTCATGATTATCATTCCATATCTGTTATCTGCATGTTTGGAAGATAGACTAAACTAACCTTTAGAAGAGTTTATTTAATAAGCACAACTTGAACTTCTGTACTATCAAGTTTTTTTGCATATTTCATTACACTTGATAGGAATTTTGTTGAATTGTGAATATTTTTCAAAAAATAAAAAAAAGACTCGTTATAGTTTTCAAGAGAAGTTTCTGGTATATTATTTTTCCTACTTCTTGGTTGTCCTGTCACATATAAAACTTTAAGACCTTTTTATATACATAACAAGCAAGTTGCTATTTTCTGTATTCAAGTCTCTCAACACTTATGAGTAGGTTTTCCATCAAAAATGGTATGAGTTTTGTCTAGGCTTTAACTCTCTTTGTATGGGCTCAGTAATTTTGACAGGCCTTTTAACTACCATGTAACCATGAAACTATATATACTGTAATTCTGAATATAGGTAGTGTATCTTTACAAAATTTGGTAAACTTTACAAGTTTGTTATAAAAATATTTGTTAATACAATATTTTGTCTAAAGATTTCTCTGTGAATTTACTGAGGAAGTCTGAATGAAAGATGGTTTTCATGCTAAGAATAAAAATTCTTTTCATGTATGTTTTTTTGTATTTCTCTTATATAACCTCCTGAACCTCCTAAATGAATATCAAAAAGTTTGTTTGGAAGAACTTTATACTTTATCTCTTATTTTCTCTACCTTAACACTAACTTTAGTGAAATCATCTTTAGCACAGGTTGAAAAATATAAAATAAATCAAAATTACATATTTTTTTCTTAGAATAACTACAAATTGTAACATAATTGATTTATCTTAGGAGCTTTAAGCCTCTAACTTTCCACAACTACTTTCATTTATTATTTTATTGGTCTTTGAACCATTTCAAAATACTACAACAAGCAATATATCACCCAGAGAGAGTGCAGAGAACTTATGCTAAACAATGTTTTGGAGTACAACCTGGAAAAGTGATCACACAAACTTTTTTTAATTTTTCAAATTTAAGGTTTCTTGTATAACCTAGTTACTTTTTAAAAAATATATAAACAGAATGAAAAATATACATAAAGACAAGAAATTGAGTATTTATCGTAACACTTATGCTGCTTGTAAGTCTTCTTTTTTCTTACTATATTTGTTGTCAAAAACCTAATTCATGTAGCTTTTAAATATACATGTCTTCTGATGAGTAAGCAGAAAGTTTACATGTTTACATTGCAAAAATACAAGATTTGATTCATCACAGTGGACAGAGTGCATATAGTCCATTGTGTAGCTTTGCAAAAAAAAAAAGAAACAACAACAACAATTAAATACACAATTTAGAACACAAATAAATATTTCAGCCAATAAGAAAAAGAATGTCCTAAATCTACTATAATTTATCTGGATTTCTAACTAAGCTATAAATAGGTTAAAAAATTTCATTGCTCTTCAGAGCACAGATTTCAGTCTATAAACATCAAGATCTTTACTTGCAAAATAGTAGCTTTCACCCAAAAATAAAATAGAATTTTGTCATGATATATTTATTGATATCTCAGAAAATAAAGGAGGTGAGAGGTTCTTATTTTATTTGTTGCACTGTTAATATATATGTTTTGTGTATGTAATTGGTGGATACTGTAGCCCATGTAAGGAAAGAAAATTTAAAAAGGAGACTTTTATGACTTTAATATGAATGACACTGGGAAGTGAAGAATGAGAATTTATTTAAATATTTCTTTTTGAAATTAAGAAATTTCAAACTTAGATAATATAAAAATTTGAATTCTGAAACTATATTCTAATGACAAGTATCCTGAAATACAATACTAATAAAGTAGTTTGATTATGTTTTGAACGTTACTCTGTAAAATGTTAATGACATGCACACTTTGACCCACCTCTCACCTGTATTATTATGACTTCTTTCCACTAAGATGAGATGTATAGAAATATTGCCCTACACACAATAACAATATTTTAAAAACCATTAACTCTTCAATTACCAATGAGGTCTATATGTACTTTATTTCTTTTTGAAATATGTTTTTCTGAACTATTTATGCAACAAATTGTTTGTAGGTCTGTCACTGTGTTGGTTTCAGGGTTCTTAATAATGTGCAAGTCACACAAAATACCATCAATACTGCATTTCCTTACTGCTTGGGTCACCTGTGTATTTTACATAGAAAATGAGTGATTTCACCTAAATTCTTGGTCAGCGTTGTAATTACAAAAACATGAAATTACTCAATATATAAAAGTCTCAACTGGTAGGTAATGGTGTATATACAAATTGGTAATTTGAGGGTTAAGTGTAGATTGGGTTTGTCATTGTATCTGAGTTTATTATAGAAAGGCTTGACTTTGTAAAAGTAAAATATACATATGAATAATATGTTGCAAAGAAAATAAACTTTAAAAGTTTGTTCTTGATTATTCATCTAAGGGTGATTGTTCAAACCAGCCTTTATGTGTTTGTTTTGGTTTCATTTGAGTGTCTAGTTTTCTTTCTAAGATGATTTTTTTTTATATGATGTACTAGTAAAACATAATCTTGTACTGTAGTGTGAGTTTTGGTTATGTGGTGGACCAACAAAGCATCACTTCATGCTGTAGGATGCTGACATTATTTATTGCTTAATTTTTTAATTTAATTTTTGAACATGCTTCTGTGTAATAAAAACTTGTATTTTTGACAAGTACCACTGTTATATAAATGATCAAAACTGTAGACTGTGTACTATGCAGGTTTGTTTGTCTTTTTTGTACTTTTTATTTCTGAAAACTAAAAGCTATATGAGGATAGAATATAAAAGATAAAAAAGACTAGTTCTCATGTTCCTAATAACTTGTGTATTGAGTTGTTGATTTTAGACAAACTTCACTAATGAAAAAAAAGCAATTTTGTTCATACAACTTGTAATGTATTATTAAAGTTTTATTTTGAATAATAAAAATTAAAACAGTATGTATATGTAACTTAAAAATAATGAATGTTACACATGTTATACATTTACAAATGATAAATTGTCAGAAATCTTAATATTAGAAAGAAGATGACCCCTTTAGAGAAGGCTCAGAGAGAAAACTTACTTCTACGTAAAGTCTTCCAGAGTCGGATGGCCAGAGCAGCTGATTCCCGGACTAAAGTTAATTTGGTAATAGCTATTACTGTGTTCTTGGGAATTTGGTTTGGTTAGAAAAATTTATGGGTGAGATTTCATAGAAATCATCCTGTCTAATACAAGTGGAAGATTTAAAACATATCACTTACAGCTGCTTAGTTGAGTTTGTAACTAGACCTGTGCATGATGATGTAGTGGCATTGCCAATAATTTCATTATCCAGAGATGATGTGTGCTTAACTGCTACTTCCTGTATGTTATGTTTGGACCATTAATCGAACTTGGTTCTCAGAGTTGTATTTGAGCATGTATCATATTTATTTGTTTTAAATATTGAATTAATTTTTAAGTTATATACCTTGACGTGTTTGAATTTTATCTTTTGTTTTATGATTTCACTTGCCTTCATATGATTATACTAATTAGTTTACAGTTTCAAACAGTTGTTTCAAAAGAGTTTTATTAAAAGATGATTGGTTTCTGTAGCACCTGGAATTGGAAAGACGACTGGCAGAAAATATGATGGTTGCTAGGAGAAAGCAGATTGTGGTATCCTTTACTTTAATTTTAAATTTTTTGGATATGTAACTACTATTTTCAAATAATTGTGATTTTGGATTCAGCTTTGGAAGGAAAATATTTTTCATCCATATTACACACTCTTCATTTCAAAATATAATATAACTAGAGTTTCTTGAATTTTAAAAATTGTAGGTCATAATTGCTTACTAATTTGTGATTATTTGAAAAGTGTGTTAGATTCTAATAAAGAATGCTAGTTTTTACAAAGGATAATTTTTGTAATTCCATCTATGGTTACACTGATGGCATAAATTGTTGTGTAGAATATTTTGACATAAATTTTCTACTTATAAGATATGATAAGTAGTTTGAAAAGCTATTGTGGTTTCTTAATTTTAGTCCATTAAATGTTTATAACCAAATAAAATGATGAAAGCAATTTTAGCTGGAAAAAAAAAATCTTCAATCTTTTTTTTTTTCAATTAATGTAATTTTGGTGAAACAAAAGCATTAAAAATACATAACCTGTTGTTGCCTAAAGTACGCAAAATGTAGTATATTTTTAATCCTGTTCCTCTATTATTCGGTAACTATTTAAAAAAATTGTGTGAATAAATCAGTGTTATTCAAAAAATTGTGTTAAGGCTACAATTTCATGAGAAGTATTAAATTCCTTTGGTTTGGAAGCATATTAACTTTAATAATAATAAGACTGAAAACCGTAATGTCATCTCACCCTTCACCTTCACTGTTTCTACAAAGTTGTCCTTTGTGAAATCAACATTGCATTTTTTTAGAAAGTCAAATGACTCTTCAAGTGTTATCCAGTTCTCTAGAATTGTACATTAGTCTCCCTCTTGAAAGACTTTTCTGGCCAGTGTCCACCCTTCATTCCCAGCCACTATATTTGAGTACAGATGCAGCTACACTGTTTACTACCCCATGTCAGTAACTACCCCAAGAATGCCACCACCAGCTAGTTTTATAAAATAAATTTAACAACTGTTTGTTGCTTGTGGCACCTACCTGTCAGTCTCATTGTTCATCATCCTAACTGAATACTGCAGTTTGCCTTGTCTAGGAAACGTCAATAGCAGTTAGAGTTGGGAAGATTCAAATCCAGAATATAGTGAAAGAAAGAGCAGAGATTTTGAAGAAGTGGGAGTGCTCAGACAGAAAGTACAGTAAGCCTAGGACAGTAAGCTATGAAGACATAGATAAGATTGTCTTGGAGTGGTTCACTATAGCCAGGGCTAAAACATCCCTGTTAGTGGCAGAATAATTCAAGAGAGAGTGTTGATGTATGTAGAAAATCTTTGTCATTTTGACTTTTCTGGTTGTAGTGGATGACTGGACAGGTGGAAGAAGTGCCACAATGTGTGCATTGCTACTCTGTCTGGAGAAGCTGCTGATGTAGACCTAGCTGTCTGAAGTCTATATGCATTGAATACAGGATTGAAGATGCAATAAATGCAGATGAGACTGGTCTTTTCTATAGAGCTTCCGTTACATCAATGGTTGTAAGAAAGAGATAAGAAGTCAAAGGACAGGATCAGTGTTTTGCTGGCATATTATGCAGCTGGAGAAAAGCTGACACTCTTTGTAATAGGGAACAGTGCTAAGCCTCATTGCTTCAAGGGTTTGGCTAGTTCACTCTGCTTCCCTGTCACACATGCCTCAAACAAAAGGCATGGATGACCAGCAAGTTATTACAGCAGTGGCTAGACAAGGTCAATAGCAAAATGAGAAATGAAGATCACTCTATTTTATTGTTTGTGGACAATTGTACTGCCCACCTGATGTTGACCGTAGTAATGAAAGCTTTTTTTTGCCACTGAACACCACATCCAAGCTTCAGCTAAGAGATTCTGGAATTATCCAGAATATGATAACATGGTGCAACATGTTTTATTTCACATGGATGAAGCCACATGTGTAACTGACTTGACCAAGAAGATAAATGTACTATACACTAATGTGTGGCTAAAGAGTGCATGGGAAAGCATACAATGTATGAGAATTCAGAAGTATTTTGCAAAATGGGATTTTTCAGGGGATCTGCCTGAAGATGATGAAGAAGACAATCCTAAAGTTGATGATGATCTTGTAGCCTTTGTGGAGAATTTTTATTTGACTTGGGAAGAGTATGCAAACTTTGATGCTGATACTGTCACCAACAAAACTATAGAGATGGACTGGGAGAAGAAGTGGCTGATGCCAGAAGCCAAACTTCTACCTCTTCTTCAGACGAGGAGGAAGAGGTTAACCAGTTGTCTCTGCAGGAGCAACTGTAGGATATTTGGAACAATTGAGGGACTTTGCAGTTGCTCATCAGAATTCCAAGTTACTGGAATATGTCGGCAAAAGCAAGGATGCCATTGAGAAGCCTCTGTGCAATTCAAAGTGAATCAAACAAACTCACAGATTATTATAATGTATGACATTTTATTTTCTCTCTTATTTTATTATGCATTGTGTTTACGTATGAACTGTACAATGTACAGCATTGTGATGTAGAATAAAATGTCCTTAAATACATACATTATAACAATTTATGTACAATACAGAAGTAATTACTGTACTCGTAACTTCTTCATTCATATAACCATGCCTTTCTATGAGTAGTCCAATCCTGAAGCTCCACCTCCCCTTAAGGAAAGACCACCCCTCTTGCCTCTTGAAAGACCACAATTAATGTAAACCATAGGGTAGTCTCCCAAGAGGGGGCCTACTGTGCTTACTTATGGGTAGACAATCATCTGGTAGTAGAGCTTAGGTTTTCCTCCACAGAACAAGGACATGTGAATTTGTAGATGACAAATGACTGCTTATTCTTTAGCAAGACATTCTTAACATGAAATGAACTCCTTATCTTCAAAAATGAATTAAAATACACAGTTTGTGTACTTACACAAAGGTTTTCATATTTAGTAGCATATACAATTACAAACTCTAATTGTTATTTACTTATTGTTATATTTTTACTACATACTAACTAGTTTATATTGTACTTTTTGGCTGATATTATTTTGCTGTCTGAAAAATGGTAATGGCTGGAATTTGATCCTGGATCTTCTTGACAGAAAGGATGATGTGATATTCACTTCCCCAGGACTTCTCCCAATAAGACTTGAAACAAATAAATAGTTAGAATGCTTTCAAAAGTAGTATGTAGGTTTGCTGGCTACTGTGCTAGGTTGACTGATTGTGTTACTAGTTAAGTAGCTGAAGGAAGCTGCTTTTATCAATCTTTTTTCTCATTTGTGTTTTATTCTGTTTTATTGTATAGTCTTCTTTGGCATGATAGGTTATTGCAGATAGATTGGTATTACAGAATCTGTTAGGCTCCACAGTTCTAACTTTTGTTGGTCTTTTTATTTCATATAATATATTGTAAATTATGCTTCAGTTTTCCATTGGATCTTTAGGTGATTTTAGTGGGTATTAACTGTGGTCGTATTGTGTTGTGGCTTCTGAATACGGTTCTAACTTTATACTGTTTACATATCCTCTGTATGTTTTCAGAAATCTTTGACATAGAGAAATATGACTGAAATGGTTAATTTGTTCATGCTTGATCTTGACGTTTACTTTCTTTATTTTCTTCAGGTATTCAGGATTCTATTGTCAAGGAAGGTTGTAGTGATATGTTTTTTTCCTCCATAAAATTTCATTGTTACAAGTCTTGTTTATACTAGAAAATTAGGCTGTCTATGACATCAGTTTTTACACTTTAGAGTGGGTTGATTTATAGTTGCAGTTTTTATCAGTATTTCTGGTTTTTCTATAAACTCCTGTGGTATATTAGCCATATGTTTTGATAACTGTCATGTCTACAAATGGGAGTTTATCATCTTTTATATCCATTGTGACTTGTATCATTGGATACTGTCTGTTCAGGTGATTTTTAAATTCCAGATTCTTGTATAAAAAGTGTGAAAGCTTCAACTATAATATTTTTTTGTTTGCAGTACATTTATCACAGACCTAGCTCCCTTTCATCCAATCTGTGTATTGTAATTTCTAAATTTTAGCTATTACACCAGAAAGTTTTTCTTGATCACATGAATTCAAATAATTTAAGTATACCATGTTTTTTAATGATACATGAAGGTAAAAAATTAATATTGTTGGTTCTACTGCTTATTTATTTATGTTTTTGAAGTAATGACTTTAGAAGTTGCTTTTCACTTTACTAAAGCTGCTTGTAATTTTGAAAGTAAATAGTTTTATGGTGGACTTTGCCTCCGTTATGATGTTTGGGATTAGCAGGGACACTTTTTGGGGGGAAACAACTGTACATACTTAATGAAAGGAGTACAGAAGTAACTTTTATAAATATGATATAATAAAATAAATAGAATTTGTTTCAAAATTTCTTTCTCAAAGTGGGCTATCTTAAAACAACATAGTTATTTTTATTCTTTAAAATAAATGTGTATTTTGTTGGAATTAAATGGATACAAAACAAATAATATGGCAATGCAAACATAAAAATTGGCTTAAATATTTATTTCAAACTTCTCTTTATGGGTAGAAATTTACTTATTTAAAAAATGAATAAGATAAGAAAGAGAAATACCAGTGGGAATATATTTAGCCACAGAATTTATGTAACTAATAGAACTATCTTGTGTGAAACCTAGCTTTCAAATCCATTCTTACAGTCATACTATGTAACAACATCATATATTCCCAGTTTGCCTCTGAAGAAGAAAGGTCCACTTTTCGAAAGCGCTCAGGTTATAGGGTTTTTATTCATTTTTATCAAGACTTCTTGAACCACATGTTTTTCTAATGGCATGAATATATAACTATGTCACACAGTGGCTTTTATAGTTATTGTCATATCATGTATGAACATTGTATATAACTGTGTCATGTTGTGGTTTTCATTTCATTTTTGTTGTTAGTTTACCAAAAAAAGTAAATTTAGGTTCAAAAATATTTGATAGATATTGTGCATTATGTTAAGCATCTTTGTTTCAGATATAGTAACTTTTGTGTGTTATTAATTTTTAAGATAACGTTTTGCAGAAAGTATATTACACTTCCATTGAGCTGGAAAGATTTAATAGCTTCATGTTGAATAAGGTCCATTGAACTTGCCTATAAGGCAAAGAACTGAATAATATTTAATTATAAAGTAAGTTTAAATATAATCAAAATATTTATATTTAATATACCTATATATATTTTTCTTCTTGCCTTAACTGTTCATGATTTTCCAAGTACTGAATGCTATGAGCCATGTTTATGATTGTTTGTAGAACACTAATAGATTTGTGTATGATTTATTTGTTTTTCTTAACATGTAACAGTTTATAAAAGATCAAGAAAGAAAAGAAAAAAGAGCTCTTGCAAGAGCAACAAAGTAGGTATTCTGATGATTTTCTTTTTGTCTAGCATAATTCTTTGTAAAAGATGACAACTCACCTCCATACAACACACAGAGATGCTATTTCCCTCAGTGTCTGTTTGGGATTTGCAAGCTGCTAAGTTTGAGTTAACTCCCACCTAAGTTCTCATGTTTAACATGAATTGCATTGGTTCATGATGATGTCGCCTGGCATGGCCAGGTGGATAAGGCGCTCGACTCACAATCTGAGGGTCGCGGGTTCGAATCCGCAGACCACCAAACATGCTCGCCCTTTCAGCCGTGGGGGCGTTATAATGTGACAGTCAATCCCACTATTCGTTGGTAAAAGAGTAGCCCAAGAGTTGGCGGTGGGTGGTGATGACTAGCTGCCTTCCCTCTAGTCTTAAACTGCTAAATTAGGGATGGCTAGCGCAGATAGCCCTCGTGTAGCTTTGCGCGAAATTCCAAAAACAAACAAACAAACAATCATGATGATGTCATCACGTGACGAAAGACCTCCACTAATAAGAGGACAACACAACCTCCATGTTGGTAACTCACTCTATGCACTTGTGATAACTTTTCTTTCTTCTAAGCATTACATTGAACAAATGTATTCCAATTTCTTTTCTCAGTTCAATTTGATATGATTTGCATTTATTAAAAAATTAGTTTTTGTTTTACATTGGCTTTTGTTTCCAAAGTGTTGGTTATTATCTTGAATTCTCAAATGATGGTGTCTTCTATTTAGTCCTGTGTGGGTGATGATGTTATACATCCCCCTTTTCTACTATGGTTTCTGGAGGCTTGTTGACTGTTGGGGATTTTGTAGCCTTTATTCAGTGTGTTGTGAATGACCACATGCTTACTAGATCTTATATTTCCATTCCTTCAACTAACTTTCTTTCTCCTCAGTCGTGAATGGCTTATTGGACTATAAATTTAACCTTATTTGCTTTGGATAGTACCTTACCTTTCAAGGAATTACCTTAACCTTCCAATCTCTTTTTGTATTTCATTCTCAGATATGTTCCTTTCCTCATCTTTCACATTTATCTTTTAATATTGCCCATTTTTCATTCCATGAATCTAATTCTTGGGATTTCTTTGTCTTTCCTTCTTGCTTGTTATTAGGGTTTATGCTGTTTCCTTTCTCTAACAGCTCCTCACTCACACCCTAGTGCCTTTTGCATTCATAACTCTTTTTGTTCTGACTTGCAGATATTCTTCCTTTCTTTTCAAGATTCCCCATCTTTGGTACCTATTTGAACTGCTTTTCGATCAGTTCCCCATTTTTGTATCTTTGTCCTTCTCTCACCACCCTCCTGTATTCCCTTTCCTCCCTCCACCCTTTGTCTGAGGCCCTTCATCATATTCTAGAGAGGTTCATCCCTTTCTCTTTGCCAGTTTAACCTGTTCCACTTCTTTTGCTCTGTCCCTCCTTACATAGTTTGGAACTCATTTGGTCAAGTTGCATTCCTCTTTACTGTACACCTTCTTTCTTGTGTTCATGGTTTTTGTTGGGCTCCCTTTTTTCACCCAGGCATCTTTGGTGGTGTTCGTTTCTCACTGGAGACCTAGACTGCAGTTGCATGATTTTGTTCTTCATTAACTTCCCAAGTTTTTCTTATTTCATGACCAGGTCCTTTGACTCCTGTTCCTCATCTGGATCAGTCTACCCCTACCATTCCCATTCCATGTTCCTCTTTTTCTCATTCTCCCACTACCTGATGTCTGGTTCCATGCTGTTTTTATCAGTGACTATCCCATCACATTAGACCCTGTGGGTATCTGTTTCTTCCTTTTTGCCAGCACTTGGTCTCAGTTATTGCCAACAGATGTTTTTCATTTTCTCACCAATTGTCTCTATCCCCACTCTTACCATTTCCTTTTCTCCTCTTTCTGACCTGGTCTATGGTCTTTTTCACCTGGTCTGCAGTTGGCCATGATTGATATGTCAAACACCTTTGTACACATCTTATTGCCCCATTTTCTAGATGTTTTGTATATTCCATCCATCAGATTTGTGTCTTCCAATTCCTTGCTCTACCCTTTCGACAAAGCGTTAGCCCTTTTTGTATTTACTTGTATCGTGAAGGCTTTTGCTTATCATCTTCACATTCCTTTTCTTGGATGATTGGCTTCTGTTGGTCCATTTTTGGGTGTTATCATCTTCTCACACCTCTCTTTTGCAATGGGCTACATGGTTGGGTTAGCTTGTCAAGATATTCAAGTCTTTTCTCACATCCACTACATGTTTGATACAGCTGGGCATTTTCCTCATCTCTTATCTCAGCCGAGTTCATCCTTCTCCTCTTTACCTGCAAGCTATGGAATATCTGGTCTATAGGATTTGTCCTTCTTATTCTCATCCAGTGTAAGGAGTTCTTTTGCTTTTGGAGGTTCTGGCTTCTCTAGAACCCCTCATTCCTTTGGGGCATGCATACATGTGGTTCCTCCAGTGGACCTTGGAGATCCAAAGGATTCCTTCTCGGGTTCCACTGTTCTCGATTGTAAACCTCTCCTCTCTCTGAGGAATTTTCATAGTGGTTGAACTCTACCAATACTTCTTCCATTGTTCCCTTATCAACTCCTAAACTGGATCTATCTCTTCACTAATGCTTTCCTCTTAAGTTGAGGCACGTCTCTGGATGACTCCATGACTTCTTGCATATGGATGCAGGACGAGCATTAACTTCACATCACTGTGCTCACACTGCTTGCTGTTCATTAGGCAGGTTCCCATTTACTGCTTTTTCTGCTGAATCAATCAATTATGATTCAGTCTGACATTTCCATGGTTGTTTCTTACATCAACCACAAAGGGCACACCCATTCCAGGACCCTTTGCTTTTGGACTTATTTGCATTGGGTTCTTTCTGTCATGTGCCAGGTGCTATGTATCTTGTGGCAGACCACCTCTCTCTCTCTCAGCTGCACTGGGGAGTGGTCTCTCAACCACCAGGTCTTTTATTGAGTTTTGCTCTCAGAAGCCTTTGCCATCCCTCTAAACTCCAGTCTTTCTCTCTTCTGGTCCATTGTTCTTCATTCGTTGGCTCTGGCTTTTGTAGCTGTTCTCCTTTTTTGTCTAATCTCTCAGGTGCTTGTCTTGATACATGACACTCCATCTAGAAACCTACTGTGGCACATCTTTAGCCGACTCAGCCTTGGTTTGTTTTGCTTCTTCAGTTGGTGTCAAGAACCCCTCCTTCCTCATATACCCAATGACCCCTCACTCTTGCTTCACCCTCACATATCCCTTTTTCATCAAGAGGTGCTGTCCTTCCATCTTCATGTGTAGGATTTTTCCAGTCCATTGCCCATTGGACCAAACTCTCTTATTCTGTAGCAGCCTACTCATCACATTCCTTTTGTCTTTCCAAGTTATCTGTCTATTGACAAAAGTGTCCGTCTTTCTTTATTGATCCAGCCATCACTCCTTTCCTCCCAGTCATCCTACTGTGAGCCACCTTTCTACCTTTTTTAATTGGCTGTTCGACCATGGTTTGTCAGTCTCCACTATTGCTAGCTATCAGGTGGTGTTGTCTGCTACATTTCGATTTTCCCAATACCACAGGGTGTTTTCTTCCCCTTTCTTATCTACTCTCTTCTGCTCCTTCCTTCTTCATTGACTTCCTCATCTAACTCCCATGCCTGACTAAACCCTTAATATGGTTTTGTATGCCATTACACATGTCCTGCTTGAGGCGTTGACTTCTTGTTCTTTGCACCACCTTTCTCTTACATCCTATTTCCTCCTCATTTTCACATGTGATCACTATCATTTGGGTGCCTATGCTATTGATGCTTCACACACTATATTCCTCTACCCAGACCAGTCTTGCCTTTCTCAGCCTTTTGCTGTTCATGAGGATAACCATCCTTTCTCTTATATCTCTCACCTCTCTGAGCATTCAGATCTCGATTGACTCCTGTATCCTGTTCTGTCTGTTCATTGATCCTCATCTTACCCTCGTGTGGATGTCGGTACACCACGAGGAGGTTTTGGATGTAGTTGACTTATCGAGTACAGTCCGCTGCGTCCTAGCCACTCTATGTCTCACAATTTCTGCCCTTGGGTATTATACAATCTACACATGGGCAAAGAGTGTACTTGGCTCAGAAGTGGTGCGGTTCTCCTCTTCTGATTTTTGGATCTATATCTCTGATTGTCAGGAGTATCTCTTGGACACTTTTGGGGGTACTTCTTTCCTTCCCTCCTTTTAAGTGTGGGATTTTATCTAATCTTGTGAGAGGAGGTAAGTACTGTATCAGAAGTTATAATTTTCCTATACTGAAAATGTATTTTGGATAGGTACTTACTACATGCGTCACGTGAGCATGTCATGCTACTATTGGTTAACCCTTTCGTGATGGGTTCAGTATAATATATACAAGTTAAGTATTTATACCATACCTTTTAATGCAGTAAGTGTATCTTAACAAAATTTGGTAGACTTTTAGTAAAGATTACATGTCTTTTGTACACGAAAAAATTAGATTTTTTAATGAAGTATTTTTTTTATAGATTTGTTTGTGAAAATATCGAGTCTGTTTCATTACCAGTCCAAATGCGAAATGATTTTCATGTTATAACTTAAAAACTATTGTTCTTCCCAAAAATCTCAAATATTGTTTGTGTAATCTCTAAAACCTCCTAAATACATTTAAAACATTTGTTTTCAGTAAAACTTTATATTTTTTCTGTTATTTTCTCTACCTTAACTCTATGGGATCTGTCAATTTGACCAGCCTCGTAACCACTATAAAAAATTAGGAAATATAAATTTAAATTATGCTTTTTTCGTTCTAGAATGACTACAGATTATAATGTGAAAACACAAATGTTTAGTCTAAATAGCTTGAATCTCATAACATTATACATTTATATATATTTATTATATTGACCTTCCAGCCATGCTTGGCTAATACAGAAGTTACAATGATGCGGTGCATGTGCACTCGTATCCAATAATATAAAACTGACCTTTAGTCTTTATAAAATGACCTGTGTTTTAGTGGACTAGTATTTTTTTAAATACAGTCACATTTCAGTTATACATTATATATTTATATACATTAATACTATTTACAAATAAGTTCTTAAACTTAGAACAGTAAATAAAGAAGTAAAGCAAACAATTATCTCTTCTAGTTATGACCTTTGTACTCGTTTGCTGCTTTTGAAATTTTCCATGTGGAGGATGTGAAAAGACATTTTTTTTAGGTTTTATATATATACATTTTAAATAACCAAAAAAAATCATAAATTACTATATCGATACCATAGAATTCCACTATAACTTATCAAATGTAGTAACTAAGCTGTATTTGGGTCTAAAAAACTATGAAATTTCAAGCTCACTAAAGACTTATCTTATCATTTGAAATCATGTATGAGAAGAATGAGATTAACACAATAACACATCATAATGGCTGAAAAAACTAGGGGGACATTCTGAGCTTCCAATTGGTTATTCATGTCATATATATAAAAGTAAGTGTATATAAGGGAGCATTTCCAAAAATGAAAGTGGTGGGCGGGGCCACTGTGTTTGATTCAGTACATGCTGTGGATGGTGTTCTGATGGGGATTCAGGCATTTCTCCATATCTTTCCAATATGAATTCTTTTTCATAATATATCTTCACAACAGTTGGTAAGATTTTGTTAAGAATTACAAATATTTTGAACAAAAAGAATGAAATTAATTAAATATTTCTTCTAAAAATTTGTTATCTGTTTCTTATAGTTATTTGCACTCATACTCTGAATAGTTAGAGTGCTAGGTGATTTTCATGTGAAGTATAAAACTACTTTTTTTTTCAGATTTCATTTTCATAACCTCTAGAACCTCCAAAATGAATATCAAAAATTTTTTCAAGATAAATGTTTATATTTAATTTTTCACTTTCTCTACCATATTAATAAATGCATCTATTATCAACAACTAAGAAATAGAAAAATGTATATACCTTTTAATTTTTTGTTGAATATAAACATGTAGTCAGATAAATAGGGGTTGGTTTTAAAATCCACTTTTAAGACTAGAAGGTGGGCAAGGCATCTGTCAGGAGTTAGGAAAATTTATTTCTTGTGGCAGTGAGGAATTGACCCTAAGGAATTTGAAAGAAGGATATGTAAACAGAGCAATTAACCTAGTTTCTGTCTATACAAAGAAGTATAGTGAAGAAGTATTGAAATTACAGAGATGAAAAATAAGATTTTGTAAACTCGTGACAACAAAACTGAAGCTTAATAATTTTCTTTAAGGTTTTGTTTGAAATAATGGAATTAAAACTTAGATAATATAAAACTTTGAATTATATTGTAAGTTATAATGCTAATTTCTTTGAAATACATTGATTTTAAAATTGCTTAATTAAATTTTTAATATAACTCAGTAAAAAAGCTCATGACACATGCAGAAAATGGTGCCCATAAATGTGAGTTCAGCAAGTGTTGTTTTTATTTTGGTTGTTTAAAGTGTGTTTCACATTTGGAGAAATATCTTAACTGATTTTCTATTTTTTGAACAATTAAGCATTAATACTGAGATATCTATCAGTTCACCTGACAGCACTGTAGACAATATAGAACAAGTATTTATGCCAGTTACAACTTTTACAGCAAGAAAGAATTTTTATTTAACAAGTACTATGTTTCAGTCACTGGTGCAATCATTCTCAAGTACACAGGTTTTAACATAAAAGAGTATTTTTGTATTTAAATTAATATTTAACAATGTAACATATGTAGGTGTGAGATCTGGTAATCGTAGAGGCTGGTAACACATTATTACTAACATATTTTGATATGTGCATCGGGGATCGTAACAGTTCATAAAAGATGATCTGTATGCTTCTGAAAAATATAAAGCCTGATGATGATTGCTAGTAAGCCCAACTCAGATAATGTAATGGTGGATATTCACTTGGCTGTGTAGGTGAAAGTTGACTTCCTCAGTCCACAAAATATTTTTAAATCAATTTTTATCTACACGAACACATGCAATTAATTCCAAAACAAAGCTTAATTGCTTCTCTGGGTTGGCAGGAAACAGTTTCTGCAGTCTTCCAATCTTGTATGGAAACTTTTTTTTATTTCAGCAAATAGACTTTGCAACTTGATGAGTGCTATATTCGTCTTGGTATTAAGCCTTAACTGATGTCCAATGACATATGTTGAGTTTGTGTAACAACTTCTACAGGTATGAGTATCATGATTGTGGTGTATTGGCCAATGATCCTGTCTCCTCAAGTTTATAGATAGGATTAAGAATGGCTCTTAGGCCTCAACAAACTCTTCTGTAATGACAAAAGGCTGCCCCTGCATTATGTTCATTGCTATAGCAAACTTCACAAGGGCTATCCACAAGGCTAACAAACACATCTAAAGCTGTGTCAGTGTACATACAGAGTAATTAGTGCCAGAGGTGACAGCATTAGTAGCACTCCCATGTGGCAAAACATGTAACATTAGGAAATACATTTCCTATTATCTTGTGTGTATACACTTAATTCATGTGTTATGATTTGGGAGTTATAAGCAGCAAAATGTGTGAAGAAACTTAATAGTCACTTTGTATTAGCATTACAAAACCTAAATGCTTTTTTTTTTACTAGAATAGCAAATGTTCTTGCATGATATTAAAGTAAGGAAATGATTTCTGTCATGTATGCTATCAAAGTCATCCATTATTTGATACGCTAACCTTCAGGTAAACAAAAAAAAAGGACATTTTAAATCACCTCTAATTGTTTTTTTCTAAAATGGAGCTTAAAGAGACTATGAGAACTTGTATGTACATGCTAATTAATGTACCTTCTGCTTCTTTCTCACAGAAAACTTCCATCTGAAGAAGAAAAGAAACAACAATTGTATGCCAAGATCCTTAGGATTGAAGAAACTGAGGTACATTGATGATTAAAAAAAATCGTTAGTACCTGTCTGTTTTACATAGTGTTAATCTTGAGTATCAGTTGATCTATAAAATAGTTCTATATGCTTTAATCTTTATTTCCTGTAGCTGTTCACTGCTGCTCTGATATGAATTCAGATTTAGTTGATTTTCATCACTATTCCATTTATTTTTATCTTAACATCACTTGAGCTGTATCATTATATTCTGATTTTCATGGTATGTTGGTATTCATGATTACTTTGTATTTAATACATTCTGATCTACATGAGTGTCCAATACTTCAATTTTTGCCATTTGTGAAAAGACACCACACTGAAGGCTAGAATTCTGTTTTCTCCTAATTTTTTTGTTCATTTTATTAAATTATATGTGTCTATTTATGACTAACTGCACTTCACTAATCTTTTTTTAAAATATACTTTGGTGTGAGTCATCCCTACTGTATTTTTGCATAAGTTAGATATTTAGTACTTGTACACCCTCTGTAATGGACTAAACAAAATGTTGCTACAACCAGGGTCAAATGAAAACAACATATTAAATATAACAACAGAAATACAAAGAAAAACTTTCAAACTAGAATACAAATTTTATCACTTACAAAAAAACAACTAGGAAACCGGTCTTTGGCCAGGTCTAGCTAAAATTGTTAATAAACAATACAATATAAATCTCAATGTGATGAATTTCAGGAAGTATCTAAGGAATTAAAAAATTAAAAAAACCTTATTTACCAGAGAATAATACAATGTTCCAAAATTAAACCACTTCTCAATATCAAGAACAATATTGAGCAATAATTCTTTCTAACTATATCTCATGAACTAACTCATTTTCAAGATCAAGGAAGGCTTTTTATTTAGTGGTTTGACCACAAGATTACATTTCATGTGACTAACTATTACCATAAACCAAAATAATCTTTCACAACATTAATATCTGTACACCACCATTAGAGGAAGCTTGTGCCAGTTTCATTTAAAATCAATGTGCTCTTGATAGAAGGTGAGTTATTGTTCTATTGTAACTAAAAACTCATAATTCAACTAAATGATAGAAGGAATGATAAATGAACAGTAAACAAAAACATACCAAAATAAAAGTAGAAATCGCTATCTTACACCTTTCCTTTGACTTCCTTACTTTAAACTTACATATTTTCCAATAGAAACTTGATCAGTTGAGCTAGGTTTTTCTTCTAATTATGATGGCATATCATTAACTAGTACTGAATCTACTAATCTTTAAGTTGTAGACATGAGCATATTGTAAGGGAAAATTTATCCTGTCTCCTTAACTGAAGTTTTTAGTAAGAGTGTGACCACTTAGTTAAAGAACTCCTTTAGATTTGAATGTTTTGTTGTTTCTTTTTTGCAAACTGAAACGAGCTCAAAAAAGTCAGGTTTTTTATTTTATTTTTTGATAGCCTATACTTTACTAATGAAACAAAAGTTCTATGACCTGGATTTATACATGATTTCAACAAAACTACAGTGAATAATAGGAATGCTTTTTTCTGGTGTTTATTATACATAATTCTCAGACAGTATTTCCAATGCCATCAAGTGAGCACTGATTGTAATGTATGATAACATGCAAATAAATTCCAGCAAATAATTAAAAATATGGCAAGAAATGGTTTGGTTTAAATTAACTCAGACAAATATTTTTTGAAACATGGAGGGTACCTGAACTATCATGGGGAAATCATGGAAGGAGTTAATGTGGATTACAGTTAATGTGGATTATAGTTAATGGAAAAGATTGTTGTATATCCATATTACCCACTCTGATTTTCAGTATGTTGTCATATTTTTTTGTTAATACTATTATTTCTTATTTGTGTCTTAAGCATTACCTTAAAACATTTTTCATCATCGGCTTGTAAATATAATTGTTTAGGACTGGCCATCTGATTTACGGAAGAAACTTGAAGAAGCCCCAGAAGACTTGGATGTAATTGAACAAGTTGCCCTGACAATACTAAGGTAGAATCAGTGAAATTAGTAGTTTTATATAATATTATGTTGAAAAAATAGTTATTCATCTTTATTCAGTAATTTGATATTATAGTTTTATTGGAAGATGAAATATTAAACTACATTAAAAATTATATTGAATTTATTATTAAGTATCACATGCAGTTTTTGGAATACAGTATATATATTTTCTTTTTTTAGTAGTATGTTACTATTACTTTTTAAGAGTTCACAGACGTAGAAGGTTCCTTTTATAATATAAACCTTTTAGAACGTTATTTTGTCATAATGATAGATTGACATGATTGTTGATAAAATTGATACAAAAATAGAGTTTGTGGTATCTTCACGTTCACTTGTTACATTATTAAGCCTATTTATTACCACTTTCTGAATATCAGCTCATAACATCACCTTAATTGTAGTTTATAGGATTAACCTTTCAGCTAGTCTTTCTCCCACTTGTTTGCAAGTGCTCACAATAGTATGTGACACTACAATCCATGATTTCATTCCAACTTCCTCTTTGCTGCTGTTTAGTGTGTTATTTGTTCAATTTGAATTTTGTGTCACTAATGATATTCTTCAACAGTGTAATTTTTTTACTTTATTTGTCTTAACTTTGTTCTTTGTTAAGTTGTTTGAACTTTTGTGTTAACAGCTTTAGTTTACTCTGATTTTTGTTTTTGTGACAGTACTGCTCAGCTTTGTTTTTGTTTTTAAATCTTCAGGTTTTTGAAGTTTGTTCTTTTCATCCTCTAGTATCATTATGTACTTGTAAACTTGATGATGCTATTTCAGATTAACTTATTATCTGAGGCAAGTAATTATTTGGTGTCTCCTTTGCTCTCCAGTGGATGTAATCTGTTATTTATACATGTGGTACTCATAATGTTTGGTCAGTCTCTGTTTCTCAGCTTTCTTTTCAAAATGTTTGTTATGGTTTTTCATCATAGAGTTATGATTTTAATTCCTCAGTATCAATTAGCAACACAAACATTTATTCTTAAGACTTTTCTTTTCAACCTCATCACTATCATAGATGAAATGTTGGGTTGAAGTACATCCATTAAGATTGTATTATTTAAAAATTTGCTGAGATATCTTTCTTCTGATAATCTCTTTTGTCTGAAATTATTTTAACCCAAGATTTTTCTTGCTTCTTCTTCTTCTTCCCCTTTGTCTTTTCTTAACTTTCTGATCAATTCTTTTTTGTGTGTTTCTGGAACTTCATTTTATGAGTGTTTTTGTTTGTTTATATTTCACCTCCTTTCTTTACATCATGTTGCCATCTGATAGCCTGATATTTCTTTTTCCAAGGGATATTTTTGCTATGGTTTAATCTTTTGCTTCTTTCTCTTTTCTTGGTAGAAAATTTTGTGGGACTAGTTGAGAATGTGTTATTTGAATTTATGTTGTTTTCCAAGTGATGGATCCATTTGAGAGTAAGGTATTTGAATTTTTGCTTCCTTCTAAATGAAAACTTGTATGGGACCAGTGTGTGCTAACTTCCTGGTGAATGTGTTTTTTTTTTGGCTAACTGAAAGCATAATGTGTCAACTTATGTTCTCTTTCTAGCAAAAACAACAATGAAACGTGCGGATTTATTTGTAAATGAAGCATTTGAATTACGTCTTTTTTCAAATGAAAACCGATATGAATCCCGTTGAGTGTATAGGGTTTGAATTTATGCTCTTCTCCTATTGGAAACTCGTATGGAGCCAGTTAAGAGTATAGGGTGTGAACTTACGCTTTCCTCCTGGTTACTCTTCATTTGAAATATGGGATGTTCTAAGTTCTTCATTTGTCAAATGAAAACCGATATGAGTCCTGTTGAGTGTATAGGGTTTGAATTTATGTTTTCCTCCTGTTGGAAACTCATATGGAGCCAGTTGAGAGTATAGGGTGCAAACTTACGCTTTCCTCCTGGTTACTCTTCATTTGACATATGGGATGTTCTAAGTTCTTCATTTGTCCATATAGTGAAATTTCTATTTTATGTTATTTGCTACATTTGTGTCACTGAGTTCTTTGACTTTGAACTTGGAGGCTATAATCTTGTTTGATGGACTCATATCCAACAGTACTTCTTTTGTTGTTTTTTAATGAAAGGAATTTCTCAAATTTTAGTTGTTTAACTCTTTCAATTCGGGCTCAGTCCCTTGGACTGATCTTGTAACCATTTTGTGCTTGTTATAGTTTTCATGCTATAACTTTTAAATTAGTAAGAGAATGTTAACGAAATTTGGCAGATTATCAGTAAACATTACAATGCTTTCATATGCAAAATATCTACTTTTTTTATTAAATCTTAAGTTTTGTAAATCAATGTTTTTTTCGTGCCATTTTATCTGTTCACATCTTGCCTATCTATCTATCATGCAGAGAAATTTTCATTTTAAGATTAAAAGTACTTTTATGCATCAGAAAATTTTGAAATTTCTTTTGCGAAGTCTTTATAATGTCCAGATAGTTATCAAACATTTCTTAAGAAAAAAAACTTTATGTATTATCTGTTATTTTCAGTAATTAATCTCTGTACGGGTTCGGTAAATGTGACCGATCTCACAACCACCATAAGCAATTAGGCAATAAACATAAATTATGCATCTTTCTTTCTAGAATGACAACAAAGTATAACATGAAAACATAAACATTTAGACTAAATAGCTTAAATCTCATAACATTATACATTTATATATATATATTTATAATTTTTATTATATTGACCTTTCACCCCTGCCTGGTAACAGTAAAGAAGTTAGATCCATGCGACTCGCGTGCACTCATGTTACTCTATCAAATAACATAAAGGTGACCTTTGCTCTGTACAAAGTAACTTGTCTTGGCTGTGTTTTAAGCGATTAGTATTTTGTAAAATATGGTCACATTTCAATTATTATACATTATGTATATAGATTATTGCTATTTTGAAATAAGTTCTTAAAGTTATTTTTCCTAAACATAGAACAGTAAATAAAGAAGTAAAACAAACAATTATCTCTTCTAGTTACAACCTTTGTACTCAGTTGCTGCTTGACATAGGTTGCTAAGCCTTTAAAAATTTTGCACATGGAGGATATAAAACAAAATAATTTTTTTTAGGTGTTATATATACATTTGAATAACTAAAAAATCATAAATTACTACATCAATATCATAGAATTGTACTATAATTTATGAACTTAATAACTAAGCCGTATTTGGATCTAAAAAATATGAAATTTTGAGCATACAAAAGACACAACCTACCTCATTGAAAACTTGTTTCAAAGGAAAGAAATGGTGGAAGGAACATTAGAAAGGCTGAGAAAAACCACTAGGGGTACATTGTGAGCTCCCGATTGGTTATTCATGTCTTATATAGAAGTAAGTGTATATAAGGGAGCATTTCCAAAATTGGAAAGAAGTAAGCTGGGTGCCACTATATGTGATTTATTACGTGAGCAATATCTTCACAAATAGAAAAGATAATACCTTCTTATTTTATATTCTAGCTTGTCAGTATCTGTAATTTGAGTTTCTAATTCATATGAAACTATAGACTTAATATTTTGACTTTACAAACATCTAATTTGAACCAGTGCTGCATTCAACATACCACGTGACACACAAAAAACGATGTTTATCTGTGTTTTTTTTAAAATTTGAATTATAGTCTAAAATTTGATACCAAACTTATTGATATAAATTCTTGAAATAGTAGTTCAATGAAATTTTGAATGAGAGTTAACAAACAAGATGACATGGCCTTTTACCTGTGACCCATATCGAAAGGATTAAGGTTTATTTTTATTTTTGCTAAAACTTATTTGGTTCATAAGGATGTCTGGATGTTTTTTTTTCCATCAACCTCTATTTCCTTTAACATAACTTACTTTGACTAAGCATGGATAGTGTGTTTTGCCTTGCCTAGTATGTTTTATATTTCTTGGAAGCTTTCAAGTGTAATCACAGGTGGTTTTTCATACCTTGGTATTTTTATTCCTACCCTTATTCTCTTTAAGAGTTGATTGATACAAATATTTTAAGGTTTATGGAACTTGAGTGTTAGCTTGTACAGAAAATCTCTTTCATACCTTCCATAATTTGACATCTAACTGTCCTTTTGTTCCATGTAGCAGTGCATGGGTTATTGTCCTGCAGGTCATTCTATGCATATAACTATGTAGATACTGTTTAACACATTTTTTCCTTTTATTCACTTCATGTTGCTATGCTATCTACCTCTTGTTCCTGACTATCCACAGTAATAGTGATGTTACAGTCTACCAGAAATTTCATTGAGATAAGTTGCTTTCTCAGGTTCACTTTTATAAATACATTCAGTACACCTTGGCATTCCTTTCAAAGGTACTGGATCCTACCCATGCGGTTTGACTTAGCCCAATCATGGAATTTACCTATTTACTCAGTATTTAAGGGTATTTGTTGCTACTAGCTCAAAGTTTGATAGGCTCAGGTATTTTGCTGAATATTCTAAGTTGTGCATCTGCTCTAGGTTTTTTTCCATATCTCTTCCTGTGTATCGTCCATATATTATTTGTTTCTGCACACTACTCTAATGGAAATGATGCTTCAGTTTTCTTGGCCCCTAAGTTCTCAGGACAGTTTTGAGAGATTTGACTTTTTTATGTGCCCCTTCTATGCTGGCTTTCACATACTTTTTAAGACTTCTGGGCAGCTTTTTCTGTGATTCATATTAGGCTTACTCGGTAGTAAATAAATCCCCTCCATGATGCTGCTCCTAATTATTTTTGATATGTCCTGTTTTTAATGATAGTGTTTATTGAAGTCAACCTAGATGAAAAACAAATCTTGTTAGTATTGAAATTAATGTCAAATAGTGGTTACCTTCTGTGGTTTTCAGATATAATGAGGCATTGAATTTAGCAAGTACTATTCTAAACATTTACAAATACATTTTGGAACATTTTTATGGAACTTAAAGCATTTTAAACAACAGTTGGAGTGATGTCACAAGATGGAAACTGAAAGTAACAGCAGATTTTTTAATACTTAAAATACAGTATGAAAATGATCCTAAAACTTCAGTTTAAAAAATCTTATATTTACTCATTGTTTATATAGCTTTTTGTGAAATATTATGTATAAATTCTCGAGTTTAATTGACAGTACTACTCTTGGACCTGTTTAGTTACCTAAGAATATTCTTAAAATACCTGAACAACGATGAATTTTAAATACTTGTTTTCAAATATTAGTATTAGAAATTCAGCGAACTTTATGCTGAATGTGTTGTTCCACAAATGTAAAAGTAACAACAACATTCTGTGTCCCAATTTTACATGTTTGAAGATCATAAAAGCTAAGTAGCACAGTTATAATACCTGTAGAATTTAATATGTTCTTAAGTACTTATGGTAAGATTGCAACAATTCAATCTCAACTATGGATAGCCTATACAATCACCTAAGCCTAGTTCTTAATTAGTAACTAGTAATTAACAAATTTCCATTTGTTGTTGTGATGGTAACCAAGACACATAACTCATATATCATAAAGGTTTATGGGAAACCCACAGTTATGGGCAAATACTTCGATGATAAAGCAAACCACCCCAAAACAGTATAAAGACAGGTGTCATAGACTATACTGTTTCCAGAAAGAAGGAAGAAAATTATCAAGTGTTCTGGGTATCCATTGTTGTAGTGATGTGTATCAAGTGTTCTGGGTATCCATTGTTGTAGTGATGTGTATTTTCTTCTATAGAAGAAAATAAACATCAAGAATAAGAATGAAGGAAATTACAGGTTTACAGGTATGCTTCCTTATGTCAGAGGTCTCTCTGAAAATGTATAGAAAATATGCAAACTACATAAAATCAGAACAGTATTTAGAAGCCACATTGCAATATATTGCAGTTAGTACACACCAAACCACTTAAAGAATCATTGGAGAGAAAAAACACTATTTACAATATTTCCTATGAATGTAGATTCCAGTGTATTGGAAAAACAAAACAACCAACAGAAGTTAGAATTCAAGAACATAATGAACATACAAGATTTGGTAATACAGATCTATGTGCAATAACTCATCATGCAAGAGAAGAAGACCATAAAATAAATTGGAGTAACACTAAAGTAACAGGATATGAATAAATTATTATAAAATTCTTCTTGGACAGTTATGCTAAATCATAAATAAATACAGCTAAAAACGACGACCTCTTTTGTTTTATACAATAAAAATTGTTTTATTTGAGTATGTAGATCAGTCTAAAAAAAATTATTGTGTAAACCAAAAGATTGCTGTTTTTAACTATTGTGGCTTCTAAATATCTTAATAGGATATGAATCACACATGACAAAAATACAAGAAGCCTTCTACATTCACCTAACTGACAAGAAACTAAGTCAACCTAGAATAGATGTAAGCAAAACCTGGATACCCCTTTTGAAAACATTCAAATATTTAGTTGGTTCAAGTTCTAAATTAGGGATACCCTAGTTGAGTGGTAATTCACTTTATTCCCATCAAAAAGACCAGGGGTGGATTGAGGCAGAGGCTATTGGGGCTGTAACCCCAGGCTTGGTCAAAAAAGGCCCCTTATGAAAAAAATACTTAATAATAATCATTTGACCAAGTCTTCTTTTTGAAGAGAGAGTGTATGTATGTGTGTGGTGTGGATAGGCCTGTTGTGCAGTGTAGAGAGTGGAGAGATTTGATTGGCTTGCCTCCGAATAGTGTGACTAGGTGTAGTCCTGCTCTGACCTAGCACATTTGCATACAGTTTGCAATGCAAGTGTGCTAGGTCTAAGCGAGGCTAGACCTAGTAATGCTAATCGATTGATAGGTCTCGGCCAATCAAAATCTCTTCCCATTTTTAGGACACTGTCAGCCAGGATCTTTCCTAGCAGCTTGCACCTGATAAACTGTTTCTTATTTATCGTATGATCAAGAAATAGGCCTAGAATATGACTAGACCTAAGTTGTTAGGCTAGATTGAAGATATCTAAATCTTTTGATTCTTTATTCTCAAAGTCTTTGGATTTTCTTCATAAAAAAAGAGTTTAGTCAATGCTAACAAGACAATTAACAGTATTTTAAGCTTTTAGAATATATCGTATCAATTTTTTATATTTCTTGAACAGAATTTACAAATTGTCATCCCATAAAAAATCCATAATTACTTGTGGGCATACATTGACCCACTGATCAGCTGAAAATAATTTTTCATCAGTTTGACAAGCATCATTAATTGGAAGGTATAGAATACAAGCCATCCAAGTACAAAATTGGAAATTTTTGAGTTGAGTACAGAAAATGATATGTGATGATTTGTTATGAAACCATCAGGTAGCTCATTCTGGCATCTCTCTCCCTCTCTCTTATACACACATACACAAGTATGCTTATATGTGCACACAGAAACACAAACAGTTGGGAAAGCTAAGATCGAAGAAAGAGGAAGAAAAAAATTAGAGAAGGAAGCTAATGGATTTATGGGATTTGTCCTCTAGTACCAAAACCCTTTCCAGCCGAGATAGTGGAAACTACAATGTAGACACTAAATTTCTGGATGCTGAAGACCATCAATCACATCATATCAAATCAAGCCATTACCTTCAATCAGAATGTGTTGAAAACATAACAACCAAGCAGGACTGTGAAAACAATCATGTTGAGACTACAACTTTCAGTGATGATGACTGTCAACATCATCAAATTGAATCCAGCTGCTACCAACAGGAAAAAAATTAATTATTGGAATGCTGATGAAGGTACTAACTAACCTATCTTTTACATTTGATATAGGAACAAGGACACAAGTTTCTGATGAAATGAGAGATTTTGTTTGTGTGTTGGAGATTACCTTTTTCCAGCACATGGATACAGAATTAATGCTAATGCTCAAGGACTTTTTTTTTATCACAAGCAGTTGAATGAAGAATAGGTTAAAAGAGACTGGCTGTGCTACTCAGCATCATAGGGGGACATCTTCTGCATTATATGCAAATTGTTTTCAGCAACAACTGGTTACTCTGACTGGAAACATACTGCAAGGGACTTTAGTCAGTATGAAAAAAAGCTCACTGCATCGAAGTTATATCAAAAAATTTGTTTTTTCATAAAATTGGATGAATAAACAAGACTTACAGAGCAGCTGAGGTCAGAGAAAAAATACTGCTACCAAATTCTAGGGTGTATTCTCTTATTTGTAAAGTTTCAATCATCCAGAGAGCTAGCATTCAGAGGAAGTGATGGAAGTAGTTAGTTCAGTGCCTAATGGCAAACACTTAGAAATACTGAAGCTATTGGCTGAGTATGATAAATTTCTAGCTGAACATATTCAAAAACATTTAAATAAAGGAAAAGGTTATGTTTCATACTTATTCTCAAATGTTTGTGATGGATCAATAGAAGCCCTACACAAAAAGTTCTCACAGCCATTAACCAGGAAATCAAAATATCCAAGTATTACTCAGTGTCTGTTGTATTTACTAACCCTGATGAAGCTGCAAAGGCAAAACGTTGATTAAAATAAAATGTTCTTTTATAATAATCTGAAGTATAGTGGTCGTTTTTTCTAACCTTTTTAACAAAATGATTGTACTCCAGATATATCCCACATGGATCAACTGACAATCTTTAGATATGTTCTAGATGATAGCTCTGTAGAGAGATTTGCCAAATTCTTACTGATAAGCAATCACACAGCAGCAGAACTTGCTAGAGTTCTCATTAATTTCCTTGAAAGAATGATATAAGAATTCAATATTGCCGTGGTTTCTCAATGATAAAAGAGGTTATCATACACAAGATGAGCACCCATTCAGAAGCAATGCAAGCCTTCAAAATGGGGTACAAAGTCATAATGCAAGTGTTTTCTTCCATTACAGATGATGACTCTGACAAGCCTCCAGTGTGCTTAGAGTTAAGAAGTCTTATGCTACATTTGGAATAACTAGAAACAGGTATAATGAGTTATTTATGGAGGGTTATGCTGGAGTGGTTTCATATGACAAGTCTTTCATTACAGAACTTCCAGGACAGCTTATCATCTGCTAAAATCTCTCAAGATTTTCATGCAGGAATTACAAAATTCATTTCCTAGATATGAGGAAAAGGGTAAACAACTGTCAGAATCCAATGAACAAAGTATGCTGAGAATGATATGTGACCAATTTCTAAATTCAACTTTCCCAAATGTCCTGATAATCTTTAGGATGTACCTGTGCCTTGTGTCAAGGAATTGCTTGGGAGAAAGATTTTTCTCAATGCTAACAATGTGCAAAGACTGGCACTTTTGTACATAGAAAATGACTTGTTAGAAATGCCTTTGCTACCAAAAGAGCCAGGAAGACAGTAGTTTAACCAAGTAAAGATGATCTGCTACTACTACTTGGCATACTATGTGAATATTTATGTGATATAAGTGTGTGTGTGTGCACTTGTAAGTGCGCGAGTTGTTGAGTTTATGTGGATGTAGCTTTTTTTCTGTCTATATGCTTTGTTGTCCAAATGCAAATTTTGTTTCTATTAGAGCACCAATTTTCCTACACAAGAAACATCTAATATTGATCATTAATTTGTAGACGAGTCTTGCAAATCTCTACCCAATTTCTCTAAAAGTAAAAACATATCTTGAGGTCTTTTTTTTTTCCCTTAGTCCTTAGTAGTGATCATAATAGGCCCAGTAAATAAATTTAGCTCCAGGCCCATCTGATCCTTAATCCACCCATGAAGAAGACCCAGGATCAAATCCTGGGCACTACTAGCACAGAAATAGTCCTTATCAGAAGATGGCAGCAGGATAGCAACTAAAATGTAAAGTAAAACTAATTAGTATCTAGTTATATTAAAAGTAGATATTAATTAATAATTACACTTGGGTATAAGCTACTAATAAGCACATTGAATATGTTCTTGTTTTTTCTGAAATTATCAAGTTTCATAGTGTTTTCTGAATCAGTTACTGTAAAGGTTAAATACTGTTGATATATACTAATCTGTACCTCTTGATTTTGAACTAGAACTTCATCACATCCTCTAAGTCAGTGGATTGAGAAGACTGTGCTAAAGTTGCAGGACAGGATTAATGTTCTTCTGAGCCATGCCAAAGTCAGTGTTAATGATGTAAGTGATCCTAAAAATAGCAGCCTGACCAGTGACTCTCTGCTTGATTCCATAGTATTGTTACATGATGTGGATTTATCCTGTTCAACTACTAGCACATGTTTGAATAAAGACAGGAAACTTTCTAGTCAGTCTACAGAATGTTGCATAAACAAAAAACCATGCACTTATGCAAACCTAAAGACACCCAAGAATGATTTAGTAATTTGTTCAGAAGAGTTGCCAGAAAAAATTCTTTTTACAACTGGAGCTTTGCATCAAGATACAGAAGAAATTAATTTAGCTCGTCAACACAGTAATAGTATTACTCATTGGGAAACAAAAAATATAAATGATCAATGCAAGTTGAAAAATAGAAGATATTCTAATGAACAACTTCCGCCATCTGAGATTGTGTGTTCCAGCAACGAATCAAGTACCTTTGTACAAGAAACATACTCAGCTCTACAGCGTCATGTTGACTATATTGTTTCTGATGTGAATATAGCAATAGAAACAGTATTACAGATGTTGGGCCTGATGCATGAAGAATTAAACACAGAGATTGCACAGGATATATGTTACAAAGCAGTGGAAGCATGTTTGCTCCAACCACTATGGCCATTTCTGCTAGCATTACATCGGTAAATGAAATTATATTAATAGTTTTATTGTTCTTATACTAGGAAGTTGTGCATCATTAGTTTTTACTCCTTAATGTAAATCATCCAGTCAGATAACATGATATAGTAGTTTTTTGAGCCTTACTCTAGTAAGTTACGTAAACCAGGGTTTCTGCATATTTTCTTCAGACAATGTCAGTTATTTACATTTATGTCCTACTGTCTTACAGTAGTTTTCAGATATGATATCTTACCCCCCTCTCACAAGATGCTTTCTTGATTTATACTTCTCTCTATTGGCGCAAATTTTTGCTCACCACTAGCCTTGATACTCCCACTTATTTCTGCATACTAATAAGCAAATGATTATGTATCAATGCTACATCAATAGAAGTGCGACATTACCCCTATCGTAACTAGTGCCCTCTCTAATCTTGCAGCTGTTAACCACTTCTTGATTGGTAGTCCTATAAAATAGGCATGTTTTGCTTGTGGTTTGATTCACTTATCCAAACGTTTTTAGCTTATTAATTTTTCTACTTTAATTACATTGTTCTTTACCATTTTTATTCTCTTTCGTGGAGAGTTACGAATTATTTTATTTATCTTCTCACCTCTTTCAATTTTGTGAGCTATGCACTCACAGTTTCAAATGGTTATGACTACACCAGCTGCAGTGGAATTACTGATCACGTCAAACGGGTCAGAAACAGGATTCTCAGCCCATGATGTGACAGCTCTTGTCTGTTGAGAGTTGAGCAATTTCATGCAACAAACAGAACAAAATGATTATTGTCTTATCATGGTTTCCAGTGATTGGGAAGTTTTAGATTAGACAGCCTTTTTCTCGCTCCTGAATATGCCTATCAGTCATGTGTCATTTTGGGTGACTTGCCCAGACCTTTTCCTTTGGTAGATTTGATTATTCAGGTATATTGTGCTCTGTCCTTATCTCCCATTTCCTATGTTCTACTCCTGCTAATCTTGGGGTCTAGTCTTTAGGTCATTATTTTAGTATTTCCTCTTTCCCTGGATATTGGGGTTCATGTGAGTCGTTTTGGGGAGCATTTGGGTTTGGGGGATAAGTATGCCTCAATCCCCATCTACTGTGGATGATTATGCTTTTCATTATCATCGTTTATCTTTCCTTATTTGGACTCAAAGCATTGGTGTTGCCTATCCCAATAATTCGATTACCTTTTCTTTTATTTTACTCTGATCACCATTCTTGGGTCAGGGCTGCTGGGGACCAGACTCCTTCAGACTGGGTTCTGAATGTCATTTCAGTAAGTCTGGTCCTCTACTTCCATTCATCTCCCCTATTGTCTCAAATCCCATTTCCTTCCCTTTTCTTCAGGTTCCCGTTTTTTGCCCGCTTGATTCATTCCAGGGACTTTTGTTTCTACCTTTCTATGAACATATGGCTGCTTCTTGCCTCCTCACAAAACGACCAAGTCCTCCATCCTCAGTTTCTTCTCCAATACACTGTTATGGTAGGTTGGCTTGTCAGAGTAGAGCAACATTACTCACATCCACATAATATTATGGTTCATCTCAAGGTGTTTTTTTCCATTCCCACCTCTGTCAGACTTTATCTGATCCATTTCAGTTGTGAGCTATTGAATTTCCCTTATGCAGCATCCCATCCTCTCCTCCTTCTACTGAGTGAGAAGCTTTCTCACAAAGCCCTCATTCTTCTTGCTCATGCCCTCATGAGTCATCATCAGTGGGTTTTGATAGACCAGTGGAGCCTTGTTTGGGAACCGTTAGATGCCCTTCCCCTCCTTTACAGGCCAACTTCAGCTAATTGTTGGATCAAAACAATACTACTGTGAGTGTTCCTCTTGCTCCTCCTCTTTGTCCAGAATGTCAATTTTTCTGGTTGGGAGTGTATCTTGACACCCAGGAGGTTTTGGGCCAATGTTCTTTTTCAGAGTCCTCTCTCAATATCAATTTTGGAATTTCTCGCTGGTAGTCGGGCTTTCCCATACTTTGTGCATGGTTTAAGAGCTAGTTGGTGATGGTTCACTCCGATGTCTCTATGGTAGTCTGGTACATCACTAGGCAAGGGGCACTTTGTGGACAGACTTCTGTTTTCTCACATTGGACCTTCTGTGTTGGGCCCATTGCTGTCCCATCACTTTGTTGCCATTTCATAATCTGGTGCCCTGAATCTGCTCATGGATCAGTTATCCCATCTCAACAGGATTCTCCATGCAGTTTGGTCTTTGGATCTACCCATTTTTTTTGTTTTGTGTACTCTGTGGAGTATCCCAGATTTGGAGGTTTTTGCCATTCTTCTCAATACACCACTTCCCCAATCTTGGTCTCCTTTTCCTCATCCTCTAACAGTAGCAGTTGATGTTCTCAGTCTGGATTGACTGGGATGGTACCTGTATTTTCCTCCCACGTGCCCCTGCCATACTTCAGACCATTCTGTGCAGTGTTATACTGCTGGTTACGTATTGGCCAGCTCACGTGATTTTCACTGCTGCACTTGGTTTTGGTGTTGACTCCTTTTCCTTTATTTGTGACAATCCTCCATCAGCCTCAGTCTAGCTTGTGTCATCCATCTGTAACTGCACTCCATCTTCACACATGGCTTTGTTCGGTCCCTCGTCAAAAGGGCCGAATTTTTGTGTGTAGCTTCTGTTGTTTTCTATCCTGTTCTTTCTTCCTCCCTGAAGATATACCTATGTATACTTTTTTTTAATGGGGCCTTTATGTTACTACCTATTGTGGGCTTCCATTTTCTCAACCTCTCTGCTCTGCTTCCCTCCCTGGATTAGACCCTCTTTGTAGTCCTCTTTGTTTTTTCCCTGTCCTCCATTGGACCTTTTGTCTTCTTATTCTTTAAATCACCTTTTCTTGCATTCCCTGTTCTTGCTTATGTTGGAGTGCAAACATTGTTCTCATGGTGTGTTCTTGTTGGATGTTTGTGACATTTTTGTTTTCTTAGTTCCAATGTAATCCTCTTTCCTGACCATTCTTTTATGCTCAAGACTTTGGCTGCTCAAGAGAATACTTCTCTCTTCATTCAGTTTTCTCTTCTTTCCTTTTCCCACCTTTATGACTGTTCCAATCCCACCTGCCTCCTTTGCCCAGTTAGGGATCTTTGATGGTATACGACACATCGTACTGCACTCTTCCATGGTTCCCGAGTCCATTTGTTTCTTTCGTGAAATCCTCACCTCTCCCACAACCTTTTCCCCTTCCTTGTTGAATTTGCCATTTAATTTGCTTGGCATTCTCTTCCCTTTCTCCTGATGGTGGTTTCCTTTTCGTGCTTTCTTCCCTTCAGATCTGTCACCTTTGGGTACATCATCAGTGCTGTAACTGTTTATCTGTGGCTGGTAAGTACTCTGTTCTTTGCTGGGGCCTTTATCACGTATTTGGATCCCACTCCGTGGCAAGTGTTATCTGACCAGGTATACTTAGTCTTAAGTCTACACTGTATGACCTAGGATCATATACCGTGCTAAATGATTGTGACATTGAGGCTTTTTCTACTATGCATTTGATGTACAATTCCAGTAATCACCAGGTGATGACTGATCAACTTCATCGAGGTGTCCTTTATGCATTGAAATACAATATCATAACACGTCACAAGGTCATGTTACACACACCATTAAGATTGAGTATTCTGCAGGACTGCTCATAGGTATCCCTCACAGTCTGTTTCTTCTAAATATGTTTGTCCCAGACTGTACACTCATGGACTAACAAGAGTAAAGTAGACAGGGATTACTGCCCATCTCTGATAATGTGTGGCATTGAGGCTCTTCCTACTGGGGACCTGATGTACAATTCTAGATGCCGCCAGGTGTTGGTTGATTGACTACATCAATGTGATTGCTCTGCTTTTCAAGAGAGGATATCGCAGTTGCCCATTGCACTGTCTCCAGTATTGTGGTTGTCTGAACTCTCCAACACATCTTTTTTTTTCCTTCTTCTAGTGGAGTATGGGAGTCCTTACCACTTATCAGTTCCTAGTTGCTGGGGTAGTGGACCATGGAGGCTTGCCCACCTGAGTGTGCAAAATACTACTCAATTGAGAGTAGGGCAGTGGCATTCTGCTGGTGTACATGGCATGATGCCCTTCCTACTGCGGACCTGATGTATAGTTTCAAATGCCACCAAGTGTTGGATGTAGGCACTCTCCTTCCTACCATCTGCTGGATGTTGTCTCCAGGGATTAGGAGCCAGACCAGCCACATAATTCCTCACATATTTTTGGATGATACTCTCCTCCTATTGCAGATTGGACAATAAATTCCCAATGCTGCGAGGGTTTGGACTGGAGATGCAACTCCAAATAGTGGTTCTACTTCATACCATCTGCTAGATGTCAGTTCCCAATGGATCTAGTGTTGGTTGTAGCTGGATGAGACACCTGAATTCCTGCATGTGTAAGACTGGATACCCTTCTCCTGGACTGGATGAAAAATTCCCAATGCTGCCAGGTTTTGGACTGGAGAGGAACACCCACCTGGTTATCTGTAGATGTTGGTTCCTAGTGGATCTGGTGTTGCTTGTGTTGGAGGTGCACACATGCGAAGGCAGGTTCTTGGTATGGAAGTTCCTCTTCCCTGCTGGTATCCATTTTTGAGGTAAAAGGTAGAGGACCGTCTTCCTACTGTGGACCTGATGTACAGTTCCAGATGCCACCAGATGTTGGTTGAAGTCTAACTCCCATTTACAGACTGTTATGCCCTAGCCACTCTACACAAAGGAGTCCCGTCATTTACTGTAATTTATTCTTTGAGTCCCTTCATGTTTTCACACTTTTTTGGCAACACATTAATAAAGGGTGAAGAGTACACCTGGTTCAGAAGTGGTGCGGTCTTCCATGGGTGTGTTGTTTTTAATTCCTTCTCACACCCTATGGTTTTCCTTTGGGCACTTTCTTAAGAAAGATCACCTTCTCACTGGCTCAATGTGGGATTTTAGGTTTTTGTTAGATGAGGAAACTGAAAATGTATTTCTGATAGATACTTACCTCCTTTCACATTTCCCAC